TCCCCTGTAGTATGTAACAAGTATAACATTTTGACTTCCAAGGTGGTGCCGGTGAGAGACTTTGTCTGTGCGTTGTTGAACAATAAAAAATAGTGCTCAATGTACATGTCAATGGCTGCTAATGGGGAATAAGAGACAGGAGCATTCGGCTTTTAGTTAACGCGCAAGCTATGATCACCATTAGCAGCAATTGGCATGTACATTGAGCACTATCTGACAAGAAAGGGTTGCTACGTTATACTCGCTGAGTGTAACCTCCTTAGCTTTAGAAAGGCTTAGCGAGCGTTGAGCCGCAGTGCGATGAATACAATGAACTTGTATATACCATGAATGAACTCGAGGTGGTTAAAAATGGGAAGTAGATACGAAGCGCAAGCCGTAAGAAAGTAAAAGCCGAATTATCCGCCTCTCATTTCCCATTAGCAGCCATTGGCATGTACATTGAGCACTATCTAACTGAAAACGTTTGCTACGTCATACTCGCTGGGCGTAACATCCTTGGTTTTCGAAAGATTTAGCGGGCGTTCGGCCGCAGTGCCATGAATACAGTGAACTAGTATGTACCATGAACTCGAGGTGGTTAAAGGTGGGAAGTGGACCCGAAGCGCAAGCCGTAAGAAAGTGTGCGTGTGCCACCTCTCGTTTCGTCCTTGGATTGTCCGCTGGATGGCGTTGTTATATATGGGGAATATAATATGAAAAGATGCGAGATGGTGGTACTTGGAGTGTTGAATAGATGGACGAATGGACACATAGACAGATGCATGGACGGACGCATGAACGGACGCAGGGGCGGCTGCATGGACGAACGCAGGGACCGAAGCACGAACAGACGCACGCACGGACGGGCTGATGGACGCATGGACGGTCACACTGACGGACGCATGGACGGACGGAAGCAAGAACGAATGGACGGACGAATTCTTTGCCCCACTCTCCATCATTCACTCCGTGGATATGCTGCCATTTTTTTTTTTCTTCTGGCACGACACACTTGGGATATAAACTAGTAGGGAACAGTCTGCTGAGAAGAAAGTAGTAGTTGGAACAATGGCAGAGATGCGTTGATAAACCGCGCTGTGTTTACGGAACCGCGTTTCAGAGTGCTATTCATGCACGTTGCGAATTTTTATTGTTCAACAACACATAGGAGAAATCTCCCACCGGCACCACCTTGGAGGCCAAATCTAGTGCCCTTATATACGAGATGGCCAGTGAACGGCTGTGTAGTGCAAGCAGTCGGATTTCTCAATATAGAAACTCACTGGCAAACGCTGCGTGCCTTGGCGGGCCAAGGCGAGGGAGGGAAGAGCGTAGGATAGGAGAGAGAGAGAGAGGAAACGTGCATGTCCAATGGGAGTGTAAATGCTGCGGGTAGGAAAGCCTATAGATGAGAGAGAGGGGGGAGCAAGCGTCGGTACGCAGACGCACACTGCGTCTTCATAGTGAGGCGGAAAAGGAAAAGCGTAGGTGAGGATAAATAGGAGAGCAGAGGCTCATGCGCAGTAAATGTGGTAATGCTGCACACTGGATTCAGCATGACCCTAACCTGCTTCAAATCTCCAATATTAACGCATGTCTATGCACTGAATGATGACGAGTGGATGAAGCTGAGTCCTAAGCTTCATAATGTGTACGCTCAAGCCAGCGACTAATTTAATGGGGGCACGCATGCATGAATACAAGAACCGACGAACGCATAGACTGACGGACAAGCGACAGGAAGGACGGAGCCAAGGATGAACGCATAGACGGGCGATCGATCGGATGATCAGTGAGATGAACGGACGAAGAGATGTACGAATGGTTGAACAGACGGGTGGGTGAATGGACAGATCATGGACAGAGTACGGTATGGTTTTCAAAAGCCATGGGACGCAATTTGTGTCACTCAGCACTTAATTGGCAATAATAGGGGGGGGTTGCAACATTACCTTTTTCTTGGCTTATGTAACAGGTCCGCTTGTAAATACATACGCATTTCCGGTCGTCCTAACATCGTATCTGATGCTTATTTGACATCAGGCTGAACTAGATTAAAGCGACTCACACTACTGATGCTCGGCTTCAAGGAATTGCTAGGTAGTCTTGCTTTCTTGCTTCTCTTTATCTTCCTTCCTTTCTTCGATTTCTTTATCTTACTTTCTGCTTTACTTTCTGCTTTGATGATGATGATGATGATGATGATGATGATGATGACCTCTTATAGATGGCGCTCACCCACAGAGGGGGATGGGCCAAGAACCGGGCTGCAGGATACCTAAATGAAACTAAAATGAAAATGAAGCCAATCTCAAAAAGTAGTTCCAAATTAATACTCCCAAAACAAACAAAAATTTTTGCTGAGCAAACGGTCAAATTATTTCTTGTTTTTGATAGACATAACTACGAATTATAAACGAAAAATCTGAAAAGGTTGGGGTTCACTAGCACGGTAATCTTTTAGTTGCATTGATGTAATCAAACACAGTGAAGCATACATCCCTGAGGCAGTAACCACATGAAATTCCGCCAAGTGATAAAATTACTGGTAGATTTACTTGTATTCCTAGCTTTTGTAATGGGGCTACTAAAAATCTTTTTCTCTTATAAGAATAACGATGGCAGAATAAAAAGAAATGTTCAATTGTTTCAATTTCGTTGCACCAAATGCATAGCGGTGACGCCTTCAGTCGAGCTTTGTTAAGGTAATAATTTAGTTGTGGAACTGCACAGCGCAATCTGGTATAAGTGAAATCTAACTGGCGAGATACACAGCACTGTTTATTCCAGCAATAGCTCAAATGCTCGAAATCTTTGAATTTATCCAAATGACATTTCCCCCACTGCAGGCAAACGTTTCGGAACCTTAGCGCTGTCAAGTAAGCCGTATCTGGCAAAACTGGGATGGTGGGCCCACCCAGGGATACTGCTGCTAAAGAGTCCACCATTTCAATCAAATATAATCCGTGGTGGCCCGGTACCCTTAGCAAATGCAGTTTTTTTACGTTTTTAGGTACTAAATGCCGAAACGTATTCATCAGCTCTACATTTACTGCCGCAGAAAGTGCATTACAAACTGATAACGAATCTGTAATTATAACTGCTAATGATTCGCTTACAGGGCAATTTGCGTAGGGCAAGAACAATTGCCAATAATTCTGCAATGAATACCGGGGTATAATCTGGGAGTCCAATTGAAAAGGACCAGTTCAAAGAAGGAAAGAAAATGCCAACCCCAGCCTTTTTATTTGACCTTTTCTTTGTTCTTGTCTTTGTTTCAATCTCCTTCTTCACTTTCCACTTTTCTTATTAGTTCTCTGCTGCCCTTTCTTTTTTTTTCTTCATTTGATATCTCTTTTTCTCTTTCTATCTGGGTTCTTTTGTTGTTTTTTTTCTCTTCCTTTGTAGATAATTTTCTCTGTTTATATATTTCTTGCGATTAGTCCTATTTTTATTTTATTTTTCTCTTTGTTTATTTCTCACTATTTCTTCATTTCTTTCGATTTTTAGCTTGCTGTATTCTGTTGATTTTTCGAAGTCTATTTGTATCTTTTTATCACTCTCTTTTGCCTCTATGTTCTTTTTCTGTTTATTTATAATTTTCTACTTTGGAGCACTTTCGCTCTGCTACGTGATTCACATGGGGCGCTGCAGCGGTGCCGTACTCAATGAAGTTTTTTTTTTATTCTCTTTCTTGAGAAGCATATCTTTAAACCAATGTTCACACGTGGTTTACTCGGCAGCGAAGGTTATCCCGACCCTGTGGCACATATTCTCTCCCCCCCCCCCCGTTTTTTTTTTTAGCCTGGATGACGTCCCCTCAAGGGCTGGCTCGGGTCAAAAATTTTTCGCTGGATTATTAAAGTATATTACTAAACAACATAAACTAGCACAAGATGAAAAAGACATTATCATTGAAAGAAATGCTACGGAAAGTTTTGTATTACCTTGTTTCATTCATTTTGAAAACATTTCACCGCATTGGCGTTTTCTTGTCCGCTGTTTCGAACAATATTAGGAGTTGTTTTTCATGCTTTCGTTGAAAGACACTACATTTAAAGCCACGTACGTGACCTGGTAGGTATTATTCACATATGTTATAATTGTTAGTCGCGGCAGAAAAAAAAACGTTTTTCGTTTATCGTGCCCGTGAGAGTTCGTTGTAGTCGTTTTTAGATAGCCAGTGTGATTTTTCTTTCTATAATTAGTCACTATGTTGGAACACTTATGTCCTAGTCATTGTGTTAATTCAGTATCAACTTTGGGGATTTCGTTTTTATTTCGTGTTCATGTTCTTCTTTTCTTATAAATACTTGGCAACAAGCAATATTGCCCTTTAATCAGCAATATTGCCCTTTCAGCCCTGACGTCCTACATAACGTCAGGGCTGAAGCAATTTAGGACATGAAGCAATTTCGCTGCCAAATGTCACATAATGAAGCCGTAAATTGAAAAAAAGGTGTCCGAACTATTCTCAATACACCTGCGATTCTTTAATTTGGCGCAATTGCAATTGGTATTAGCCCAAGGAGCGTTTTTACCACTGTTACAAATTTATCACTATAGTCGAAAAGAATGGAATGCTAAACGTAGCTAAATTCAGTTTTATGCGCAGACGTTTATTTATTTTTTCCCTTTTTTGTATGTGCTTATAGTGTCATCCTTTTCGAAGTTTTTTTTGTTTTCAAATCGTATAACTTTAAATATTACCTGTAATACCTAATGAATTCAACTCTTTCCTTCAAGAAGTGAATTAGTTTAAAAAACAAAGCAACGTCCGATTCATGGCTTATCCCCCTAGGTGGGTTGTGCCAAGTTGTTGAGGAACCAACCAACCAGCCTGCGCAAGCATAGGTAGTAATTTTTTCATCGTCGTCGTCTTTATAGCTCTGCAAAGTAGAGAACAAAATTGTGGATTGTGATAACTATGACACTCACCACAACTAAATAATAAATGACACCTTTCTGGTTAACTATTAGATCAGTAGCTATCGTATTTTTTTCACGTTGTTTTTAAAATGTCCAACTTGCCATTTACAAGGTGGGTCTTTCCTAACACTAACGTATCACCCGCAACAGTGAACAATCTTTATGTCCTAAATATAGGAAACCAAGTCTCAGTGGTTGTCAGAGGTCTGAATGCATTCAGGCTAACTCAGAAGTGTAGCACTTGTATGTGCTCCCGATTTCTTGTTATTCTAGTCGAGATGTCTGCCCACATCACTCAGATAATATGTATCGGTTGATAATAGCGAAATCGTATATACTTAATGAATTTATATTTGTATTATGAAATATATTACTGGTGTGTGATGGAGTTAGAAGAAGACGATGATGAAGTGTAGTTCAATCAGCTTGCTTTTGCAAACATTGGCAGAATTATTTCTAGTGCCGCAAAGCAGGATACGGCAATTTTTTATAATTTTGGATCTTCCAGAGATTTTATTATGTAGACTGCGGCCATTCACGTGCAATGATGAGCTGTGTATCACGAACGCAAAGACTTGCTATTGACCATTTTAGGCGCTGTAACTAATACGTGGTTGCTGTATGTTAGTTTCAGAACGATAACTTGAACCAACGGGGTTAATAAATATATGTGTTTAAATTCACCATATTTCAATTTATAACCGCTAATCTCCGGTATCCTATTTTTAGGACATTAAGCCATTTTTCTTGTATACTGATGGGATGGTAAGAAAAAAAAATTTTCGTGTTCTTCAGGTTGCAGTAACTCCAAATTGACAAGAAACGAAATAACTTCTGGTAAAAAAAAATCAGGGATGTAAGGGTTAAACATCCTGCACATGCCTAAAGTTTTATATCATGCACAAACTGAAGTGCACATTTTATTTACCACTATTTCAGGCCTCCACAAGAGGGAAACAGCCGAAGGCTCTTCGACGTAGATAACACAGTCCCTCCACACAAAATTGGTGTCTCAGGTGCGCACGACATACTTTAGGCTCTCAAACGGACAAAGTCCTTTGTGGATTCACCTATTGTGACTCATAGGTGAAAGCTATATTTTTATTTCCAGCGGTTATACAGGTGTTCTCTTGCCGATTTTCGGCAGCTTTGTGCACTAAGCATGGTTGTGCACTGCTTCCGAAACCTGCTGCAACCTCACCTTTTTTTTTACTGTCTTTATGATCCCCCTACTTTTGACTCAGCTACTATATTATGCGATAATGTCATCATGTCATCATGTGATCTAAGATATCTGCCCTTTCATTACCACTGACACCAACATGTGAAGGAATCCTCTGGGAAGTTAGGTTGATGCCTTCTTTTGGTAACGTCTTTCAGTAGTGCCTGTCAGCAGCAGCAGATTTTGTTCATGGAAGTCTCTCAAGAAAGCTGTTGCATTGTCGACTAGAGAGAAGCAGAACTTATAACGTGAGTCTATCCAGTTTGCAAAGAGCAGCAGCAATAGCAGTGCTCTCTGAAACTGTCGAAAAAACTAGGTGGTTCAACCGGCCAGACCATGCAGCTTCAATATGACAATCAATCAGCATCAAGGAATTATTTAGGAAAAGAATAAAATACAAGAAGTATTCAAACTGATAGTCTGAAGTGGCTAGTGGCCGGTTCAATACTACATGCACAGAAAATGGGCAGGTCAGCTTTGAAGGGAGAAACAGAAGGGATGATAAATACAAGATATACTCGTTTACATTTTCTCTAGCGAGCTTGAAAACTTATCAGGTTGCAACTAGCTTCATGTGCACAGCACTCATTAGAAAAAAGAAAGAACATAATGAAAATCAAATGAAACATATATGTACATGGGATCACATGTCTTGTCTCGATAAAAAATGACTTGCATGCACAAGGGGGATAGTGTTTCATATTTTGGTTTCATTAAACTCTATCAGTGTTTCTCCATGAGTATTGTAGCATTTGGACAGGTTGAATTTTCTATTAGAAAGATGTCGCGTATTGCGAATAGGAATTAAGAAATTATGAGCAGGCAAACGTGATTTTTTTCTTTTGTAATTTATTGGCACAGCAATTTCCTTCTCGCGCAACCTTTCAGCTGAGAGAATGTGTTGTGATTAAAAAATATTACTTACTGGTTTACCCTGACTTATGATTTTCACTGTACACTTTGAATTCGTTCAAGAGTTTTTTAGACAACTCTTAGACGTAAGACCCCGTAATTCTAAGCAGTCTCTCATATAACAATGACACAATAAAAAGTAAAGTGTACCAAGCATGGCTTGTGGAAAGTATTGGCGAGCTTTCATTAGAGTATAATAGGTGGTAGAAATGGTGGAGAAATTGTGTTAGAAAAACTGGCCACCTTATATATGAAGTGTATCTTTATGAGAAGAGTGCTAGAATTACGGAAGAACATCATTATAATTTTATTTCATCAAAAAAAGAAGACGTCAAGGACTATAAAAATCGCGGGACGATCAGCTCGCTGCCCGTTCTCTACGAAATATATACAAAAATAGTAGCTAATGTAAAGAGGCAACCATTCGAGTCCAATCAACCAAACTAAACAATACACCATATGCATATTATCAATCAGGTGATGGAGAAATGCGCAGAATAAACCAACCTCTATACATAGTCTTCATGTATTACAAGAAGGCGTTTGAATCAGTCTAGAAATCAGTAGTGATGCACACACTACGAAATCAGGGCATAAACGACTCCCTACATCAACATCATAGAAGAAATTTACAGCAGATGAGTACCCGCCATAGCTCCCCTACAGAATCTAAACGAAGAGGGGTGTAAGGCCACGAAACACGATCGCTTCAATGCTGTTCACCGCGTTACAGGAGGTTTCCGGCCCTAGACATGGGGCAGGGTTAGCAATAATGTTTGTAGAGAGTATCTTAGTAGCCTGAAATTCACGGATGACATTGCCTTGATGAGTAACTGAGGAGACGAATCACAGCTGATGATTACTTAACAGGGCACGGCAAGCAAAACAATAGCTCTGTAAATTATTAGTACACTATGAATTAATGTGCAACTGTCTCATCAGAAAACAGCGCTTTGCGATAAGTGAAAAAAACGCTGGAAGGCGCTGTGAACTGTGAACTGAATTATGTCGACTTAGGACAGGTTGTAACAATGAAGCTGAACCATGAGAGTGAAATAACCAGAATAAAGATTGCGTGGACCACATTCGGCAAGCATTCTGAAATCATGAGTAGTAATCTATCACTAACCTTCAAGACGAAGGTATATAAGAGCTCCATCTTACCGGTACTTAGCTAGGGAGCAGAAACTTGGAGGCTTGCAAAGAGTGTTCAGCTTGAATTGAGGACGATACAGCGAGCGATGGAATGAAAAATGATAGGTGTAACCTTAAGGTACAGGACGAGAGCGCAGTGGGTCAAAGAACAATGAAGCGTTAAGGATAGCACAGTTAAAATCAAGAAGAATAAATGCACATGGGCCGGGAACGTAGCGCTTAGGCAGATAACCGTTGGTCATTAAGGGTAACTGACTTGATTCCCAGTAAAGGCAATTGCACTGAAGGGAGACAGAAAGTTAGGTGGGTGATGAGGCTAGGAAGCAAACGTTACAAAAGGAAGTGTTGGGCTAGTTTCTTTTTTGATGACTGAGAAAAAAATGTGCTACAATTGCTGCGGACAACGAAGTTAGGAATTCTAGTGCAATTTTTTCTCAGTCAAGTTAGGAAGCTCGCAGGTATAACGTGACAGCCGAAAGCACAAGACTGGGCTGATTAGCGGTTCATGGGAGAGGCATTTGCCCTGCAATGGGCTTATTCAGATGGATAATGATGATGATGATGATTGTCCTGCTTGAAATCTCCCAGTAACTTGCCCAACAATCAGTCCTTATTTATACGAAAAACACGTTCCTAAGTGAGAGTTTCTTTGACCTAATACTCACAGCCACTCTGGATTCGTCATCACGAAAGCCGTTTTAGTGAACGTAGCTTAAATTGGTGAGTCAATGCAGTTCGGAGATATTGTGCCCATTCATCAATCTGTGATATTTTTTATTGTTTTAACTTCTAGTCATTTTAAGAAAAGTTAGGCAAGATGCGAGGAGAGCCATTTGGTGCACAGTGAACTGTTATCGTGCTCAAAACGATTCCTTACATGAGTAACAGATGCGGGACTTTCAGAAATTTTGTTTACAAATGTTTATAAAATATATGTTCATGAAATGTTCATGAAATATTTTTGTGGAAAAGCTTTTGCATAGATTCAATCAGAGAACAATTTGGCGATGGCTTTACACGCATCCATCACTACTTGTGGTTAGTTTTACTACCCTCTGCTGAAATTGGCTGCGGCACCATCCGGGCGTAATTACCACTTATACAAGCGCACAAAACGAGCTGCATTCTGCGTCACATCGCTGTCAGCGGGAGAGTGCACGTACACTGAAATAACAGCTGCGGCAGTTCATTTTGCTGAAGACGCCAGTGTTTGAATTGTTTTGTATATAAAGCAGACGCCAGTCGGAACTAGAATGTGCTTACTTCTGGATTTATGATTGTTCATTTGCTTGTTCATGTGTGTTTTCGTCTGATGGCTTGTGTAAACGAGTTTCATTTGTTTTACCTGTAATTGTCTGCGATTATTCGCTGGAGTCGTTAGTGGCAGCTTTGGTGTCAGCCAGCTGTTTTTCCAATGTGATGCCGTCTCCCCAGTCTCCCCAAGGGCTTTCGAGAAATAAAAAAGTTACCGGCAATTGACAAGTCAGACACATTGGTTGGCGCGCAAACCTACATAAAAATACTTCGGATAATATAAATGCATTTGTTGCCGCCGGTGATTGTGTAGCTTTATATTTGCTGGTATATTGCTGTACAAGTTCACGTAGATTGATATTTTGTTTCCATTTCATGGTTTTAGCACGATGCGTCCTGGCATGTAGCCAGAACCTTTACAGCGAGAGCTGTTATGAGACCACAACTCGGGTCACGCGTGGCGCCATAATTGTCCGCCGCCGTCACCGCTGGTGTCCATAACCACTTCACAGCAAATGAGAAAAAAAAACTTAGTATCAAACACAAAGTGGGCCTTGAACCCGGGTCCGCTGTGTTTCAGCCTGGTATTCCACCACTGAGTTACACCAGTTTTTAAATATGAAGCATTTCTTAGCGAACTTCGGTGATTTTGAGCGTATCTATCTATCTATCTATCTATCTATCTATCTGTCTATCTATCTATCTATCTATCTATCTATCTATCTATCTATCTATCTATCTATCTATCTATCTATCTATCTATCTATCTAGCTAGCTAGCCGCTTACGTTTGGGTGCTCTCATGGTCACCCTCTCAACTTGGCGTGCACCAAAATTAGCATGAGAGGGTAAGATGGTCTGACGAGTATGACGTGCTGGTAACATCATGTAACAATTCCGTCGTGTACGTCATCAAACACTTCCCGCCAGAGAGTAGCACATACCCACGGGTGGGTATGTGCCGCTTATATGCGGGTATGTGCCACAGGTGATTAACACTTAATATCTACCCAGAAACGACGAGAACACACATGGGCAATTAACGCGTGAGCGTTAAGCAATACCCGACATAGGTAGCGTCGACCCAACGAAGGTATAGAAGAAATGTCAGTGTTAAGAAAAACCTGACATAGGCAGCGTTGAGCCCCCAATGAATGCAAATAATAAATGTCTGGGTCCCAGCAGGAATCGAACCCAAGCACTTTGCGTGGCAGTCAAGCATTCTACCACAGAGGTATGTAGGCCATGTCTTGGAACTACTTTTCAAATAGACGCTAATGTTCGTGCAGCGTCAATAGTGGTTGCAGTGCTGCCTACAAAATTTTGTAAACATTACATATGTACACCTTTTAAACAGCTGTCACGTCAGTTTAACATCAATTGTGGTTAGGTGCCATGCGCTGAAGATGATTTATGTACCAGTGTTCAGGGCCAGCATCTTCGCGAGCATCAGCGCTTCATATTAGCTTCTCGTGTTGTTAAAGAAAGTTCCAACACGGTCGCCTTTCCTCCGCATGCTTCGCATAACGTCGATTTCTAGATACGTGGGATCTGCCGAATGTTTTTCTTTATTATCTTTTTTACTACAGTTCAAGTTAATTTGACAATCACACATCACACGCGTTTCTTGTGTGTTAATGCATCAAACAAAGATATATCTTCAACACAGTCAGTAGTCTTCTACACATCCCGCAATTGGCTAACAGCTTCCACGAAACACTCATGAACAGATAGAACTCTTACATCAAAGTGTCGCTACGATAACATACTACGCTAAACCGAATGACAACCAAGTAAGAAAATAACGTCCAAATGTTGCACAGAACTATCACAAGGCGAAAAACGAATTTCACGCGGAGTAAGAGGGAAATGGTTTTTTAAAGTCATCTTTAAAATGTCCCAAAAGGAAATGGCATTCGTACATTCAATAAATACATGTTCAATGGTCTCAGGTTTGTTACACAGGAAACAGCTGCTTTCATGGTACATGCATCCCTCTCTCTTCAAGCCACACTTTCACTGGCAAGGTTCCCGTATGAATCTTGAAAAAAAAAAGTTTTAACATTGGGTGGTGTCCACATGTTTTTCACTCACTTTAGGACGTATTGTCCATATGATTTTTCATATTTTTAACCGTAAAGGGGCACAGTAAAAACATTTTGTATTAGTTCTCTCATAGGGCGCTTTCTTTTCACTTTAGTTAGTTAATCTGTCAATAACCTTATCCTTAAGAAACGATATGAGAACACAACTTCGCGCAAGAACGGGGCAAGGCTTGCTGTTCTCCCCTTTCTGATGATACAAAGAAGTCAGGCATGTGGTGTAATAGCGTTGTTTGAAATAAAGAATATAAAAACACGTTTTTTTTTGCTCTCTTATTAGCGTGAAACGTGATATTACTCTTTTAAGAAACAGATGGCACAAGGACACCTCTTTTTTAACACGCCAAAACAAGTTCGTTCTAGATGTTTGCTCCCATGAAGAGCTCCAGAGGAACGTGGTGAATATCCTGTGAATTTTAAGAATGCTTTTACGCGTACAACTACGTACTTGTAAATGTTACATATTTTAGCAGCCGGAAACACGTTACATGCAGCTGACCGAGAGATAATCGATAAGTCACGACCACCCTGCCTTTCGGCTGTCGCACGCAGTTCTTCCGCCCCTTCATGCCAAAACGCTTTACTGTCTTGATACCTGTCCAATGGTACCCCTAGGTAATTATGAGGTGTCGTGACCCACTGAGTATTTCCAGAAGAACTGGGCGTGAGGTACCAATCACCATGCCATAAACCAATGCTTCTTTTTTTGGCAACTACGTTTCCACTCGTCTCACAAAAACTTTCAGTGATTCATAATAAAGCAGTGACACTCTTTCTAGCAACAGATAAAAAGGCAATATCGTCGGCGTATGCCAAGCATACACTTCGCATGTCTGCAACCTGAAACCATTAATTCCTACGTGGTGAATCAACTTCTGACACAACGGTTTGCAAAATAGAGCAAAAAGTAAAGGACCTAACGGACACCCCTGGTGCACGGAAGAAAGTACTTGTATGCGCTGTTAGAGTTATCCATTTACAATTAAATTTGTGGTTGATCTTTTGTATGCCAATTTAGTACCTTTACATATGATCGCTCCAAGACCAACGTACTCAGCTAGCGTTGACAGAACAACTTGCCTTGGCCAGATCAAAGCCTTCGTCAGATCAATTTGTAACATGGCTATTTTCAGAAGTGAAGCACCACAATACTCCAAAATGCTCCTGGCGACATCAATATTGGTGAATGTGTTCCTACGTTTGATGCCGCAAGTCTGATGCAGCCAGACCAAATAGCATATAAATCCTAGCAACCTCCTAGCAAGGACTTTCATAAACACCTTATAATCACAGTTTGTAAGCGTAATTAGCCTAATTTGCGTAAAACATGTTGCTCTTTTCCTTTAAGAATCAGTACAGCGCGGGCACGATTAAACAATTGAGGCAGGCTTCTTCAATTTAAAGAACCTGAAAGAAAAAAAAAACCTCATGCAGTGCTGCGATCATATCCTCCTTGAACGCTTTGTAAAAGGCGCCAATAATGCCATCTGGACCAGGCGATTTGTTCATGCCAAGATCATCAATAGCCTTCTGAATTTCTTCTACACTAGTAGACATTTCAATAAATTTGTGTTCTCAGGATTAGGTGTCGGCATTTTTATCAAGAACTCACCTAAAAAACCCGGCTCCTTTGGCTCACAATTAGCAAACAATTCTTGATAGTAGCTTTCAAAAGCTTTCACGACATATTTATGTTCTCTCAATATTTTACCATTCAATTCTATCTCTATATATCGTGAACTCGAGCGTATGCCTTTTCATCTGACAAGGCTCGCTTTGTCGGGGCTTCACCCACGAGGTATCTCTCAGCTCTTGCCTGTATCATTGCGTCTTTATATTTATCCTCTTCAAGACATTCAATTTTGTTTTTGACCACCTCCAGTTGAAGTGCTAAGCTACGCTGGCACTTGGGACTTGTTCGCGAACTTTTCTTATATACAGGCTTGATGTCGGAAAAGGAATCCAGATAATATGAGTAATAAAGCCTTTTAGAACATAAAAAACAGGTGTCTCACAATGCAAATAAGGTAACGAGTGGGTCGTTCAATGCTCCAACCCATTACAAAAGCTTGTTCTTGATCATCTATTAACTGTAGCCATACCCACTTCAGGCATAGTTTCTCATTGTCGTCAGCCACTGCATGAACAATTGGCACAAAGTTCCTAGCAAATGTTTAGCGGATACTCCCCTTCTCAGAAGAATAAGGAAGGATAGCATATCAAGTGCTGGCCCATTACCCAGAAGTTCTTAATATTATTACACTGTAGTGGGTACCGAACAAATATGCTTGCAGAAGTTACCCAATGAGTGTTTAGAAAAGGCTATGAAAGGCCGCCGCTCTTATAGCTTTCGCTGTGACTGTGCTGCACCTTCCGCGCAGGCCTGCCGTTTTTGTTTTGTTTTGTTTTAGCAGGGAGGGAGGGCATGGCGTTTGTTTGCAGCTTCGAAAAATTCACTGCTGGCTGTTACTAACGTCACTTGATTTGAATCGTTCATGCATGGGGATCCCTTCGTTGAGTTTGATTTGAAAACAGATAAAAATACGGGTGTCATCATTGTTATCTAGCACCTGGAGTAGCATGATACGCTACAAGCCATGGTAGTTCCAGATTACCTATATATTTATATTCCTATTTTTCATGTGCTATTTATACTCACCATATAAAAACACCGGCTACTTCAGCACCATGTACGTTTCTTGTTAACTGCTGCACAATCCTGTGCATGAGTGTCTGCCGCTATAACACGTCAAAGTCCATAAGTATTGTTGTTTCTCCGCAGAGGTTGCAACAAATGGAACATTTTGCAGCAACTTGACTAGTGCAGCTTTCGTAAGGCACAAGTATAAGAACTATAATATATGGAGCACCGTCAAAGCAACACTTACCACGTGAGTAAGCTCAAAATATACACTAATTAGTTCAAGGCTGAATTACTTATATCTTACGCCTAATACAAGGTTAATACACTGAGAAGGCGTTTATTATTGGAGTTACGTTTCTGAGGTGGTTTTATGAATGCGACAGGACGAGTCACCGCAGGACACCGTGTAGGATGATGATGATGATGATTGCCTCATGCATGACTAGCAACCACTCTGCGGGATGCGCCAAGAAACGATTACTTAGATAGAGGGAATCGCATTATAAATGCAAATCTAATCAATTAGATGCCAGCAACCAGCAGCACGCGGCGTGAGCACTGCACCCGAGCCTCCACGATACTGCTGACCGGAGAGGCGTCATCGTCTTCACAATACCTAGAACTAGGTATATATCAAACACTTCTGAACAAATAATCTGGGTCTTTCCAAAGTTCGCCTCAGCCACAATATGTAAGCATCCTTGCACTCTGTGCCCGCCAGTCTGAGCATCACAACTAGGTTTTGCAAGTATCGCGTGACCAGTGATAAAAATCTACCCCGCCGTCTATACTAACCCCTTCCGGTAAAAGTTGTTTGGTCTGAAAAAACACTGCTACTTATAGTGAAGAGATTCAAATGGTAATCTTGGGGAGATCGCGAAAACCGGACACGCATGTTCACTTGCTTTGTAAAAAATATGTTGTAGGACTAACTAATACGTTCGTAGCTGATAAGTACATAGCCAAAAAAGATCAGTAACTGAGCACTTTCAAAAGCCTGCTTGCTTATTGAGCAGTGAAAAACAATGGAATGATACAATATTTGTGTCCTTTTAACACAAATGGGTTTTATGCTGGAGTGCGCCACAGCTCCACTCACGATGTCGCAAAATTAAGTGATATACATTATTAGATGGGAAAAGAAAAACAAAAATGTGTCTGTCAACAAATCTATGGCCCCTGACTCCACGAACTCTGCCTCCGCAGCGAATCTATGACCCCCGACTCCATAGCGGTTGGCATAAACATTTTGCCTCAAAACAACGTTCTTTCTAATAGCTAGCTATTTATATGCACTGCTTAGCTTTATGGTGCTCCGAGTTCAGTGGTTTCAGATTATTTCATTTTATTTTATTTCATATACCATATATATATATATATATATACCATTGCAAAAACATATACCAATGTTTTTGCAGCTAGCATGCTCCGCAGTGAAACTCAAAAGCATGCAGGAGGAATAAGAATAAACTTCATATGTGCCCTGCTGAGAATGTGGTGTCACCTTTAATTTCACAATCTTTGTTTTCTAAATTAAAGCCTAAAAATAGGCATTGCTTATGTGCTCATCAGACAGTTATACGTAAGTCATTGTTTCATTTAAAATTTATTCATGCAGGTTTGGTTCGCCACACTTTATAGTTTTCACTGAGGAAGACTACCACAAGATGAACGAAACTTTCATGTACGTAAGCAGTTTTTCTAACTCTGTGATTGTGTTACACTTTATACAGACAAATATATTTAGTACCATACCCATATACACAGTATATCACCTACTTTTACATAAGAGTGTGAAAGCCCCACCACGATGGTTCAGTGGCTAAGGTACTCGAATGCTGACCCACGGGTGGCGGGATCAAATCTCGGTGGTGGTAGCTGCATTTTCGATGAAGGTGAAAATGCTGTAGGCCTTTGTGCTCAGATTTGGGTGCACCTTAAAGAATCCCAGGTGGTGGAAATTTTCGGAGCCCTCCATTACGGCGTCTCTCATAATCATATCTTGGCTTTGGGACGTTAAACGCCACATATCATATCAACATATAATTGTGGACATTTTTATTTTAGGTAGTTTTGCTGCCACTAACGGCAAAGAGTCAACACTGCTCAGTTAAACTGGCACATGGGCGTGGGAGGCGCTTACAGTGCGAAGGTAATAACTAATAAAGCTATCTTCAAATCAATGTGTAACTCCTCGGTTACTTCTCCAAATGAAGCTGCTGGGTTATCGAGCGAAATGCCTTCGTAGGTCGGTGCAAATGTTATAGAGTATATGGATCAGTACATAGGCAGATCGAGTTGGGAAGCAGTTCTTACACAAAAAATGCACTTTGGTATAATCTATCTATCTATCTATCTATCTATCTATCTATCTATCTATCTATCTATCTATCTATCTATCTATCTATCTATCTATCTATCTATCTATCTATCTATCTATCTATCTATCTATCTATCTATCTATCTATCTATCTATCTATCTATCTATCTATCTATCTATCTATCTATCTATCTATCTGTCTGTCTGTCTGTCTGTCTGTCTGTCCGTCCGTCCGTCCGTCCGTCCGTCTATCTATCTATCTATCTATCTATCTATCTATCTATCTATCTATCTATCTATCTATCTATCTATCTATCTATCTATCTATCTATCTATCTATCTATCTATCTATCTATCTCTCGGTGTCTCTCATCTTTTGTGAGCTTCGTAATTTTGCTTTGGTGCTTAATTTGAGATGAGGTTGACTGCAGTATATCGGGCATCATAAAAAATTTCAGCACTCGTCAACAGTGCTGAAACGGGTATTCCTGATTCTTATGCGCGAAAAGTACGCCGATCACGTAGATGCTTATAGTTATGCATTAACAACTTCTCCAGTGCTGGTCAGGAGCACTAGTAGTACCAGTGAAAATACAATCCGTTTGAAGTCAGTCCAACCAAGCACATGAAAGCTGAATAACTTGCCGCTGTTCTTGCTGCATTATGAATAATTATCCACGAAAACTTTAACCATGGTCAATAGTGAGCAATTCGAAGGCAGCTCTGCCATTTTTGCTACCTACGTTGCAGCACGAATCACACGAGCCACTCATCTTCTAGGTTAAGGATCCACTTCATACTTCGTTCGAGAAAGGACATCACGTGACATCTCAATGGTTGCCAAGTCGCGAGCGGTTAGAGAAAACGAAAAACTCGACGGTGCAGATTGGTTGACTCGTCAGGGCTTCAGCGTCGATACCATACCTTTACCAAGGACCGAAGCAGCCAGCCATGTTCGAGTGGCTAGCAACATAGCGCTCTCTCCACTAAAGATACAGCAAGCAGCTTGTACAGGCAGCGCTACGGCTGCATGAAAATTTTACTTGAGACACCTACTGAACTGCGCTGAAATGATGACACTCTGTTTTACAATTCATGGGGAACAGTGGCCTTCACAAAGTATTTCTCCTTTTGAATTGGTATGCCTGTCAAAAGGTTTTCGGACAACTGTGGTAGCAAGGAGATATTACGGCATTTTTTTGCGACTTGTCCACGGTACAATATGCAGGTTAAAATCACTCGAAGTCACAATATAACCCACAGATCTCCTGCGAAATCATCGCAGGTGGAGGCGATGAAAGCACTGCTGAAGCCCTTGAGTGTATCGGACTTGGACCGATGGTTATACGCTAATCACTTCATCATGGCTAGAAACTGTGGGACCCTGTGCGTGTTTTTTTCTTTCTCTTTCAAGTTGCCCTATTTTTTTCCTCAAATGTGCGGTAGCATATCAATCTGTTTAAAGGGGTCAACATCCTTGACTTTCCTTTTCCTCCAGTTGCATTCTTTCTCGACATAAAATTGAAAGATATGGGATCGTAATATGATGATAATTTATTGCATCAACGTCCTTGTGGTCAGGGTTTTTTTCCTAAATTGTTTCGATTCCAGAGACCTGCATCTACTTTCGTTCAGAACTACAGCCTTCCAAATGTGTTAAAACTCCCCTTTTTAAACCATGTCTTGAACAGTATATTAGCTACTTTCCATCTTGTTTCGTTCTTCATATTGAACCGCATACTGGCGTGGCTGTCAAAGGTTCAGATTTCAAACCTTACCTTAAGCCGGCGTCTGTTCTGTCTAGAGAACTAAAACGCGATTCCGGGGTTCGAATGTTTTCGTGTTAAGACGTTACTCCATTTATGACATCAGAGATAAAGAGAAGAAAGTAGATTGTGCTCCGAATAAAAAAGAGCTCTGAATTTCCAAAAAAACTTGACTCCGATAAAAACCTATTTTTCACCAAAACGCAAACTCCTAAAAACACCTTTTTTATTGCAGCAAAAATAAACTCCGAAAACTCGTAGTATAATACACTGATCTTGGCAGAGGAGAGTTGTGTTACGTAGGGTGAGGCGTGAAAACAGAATGAACCAAGCTCAGGCTAATGGGGCCAGGATATGATAAAAATACTCAGATAGCGTTTGACCTTCATTTTCAACAGTGCATCACACTAGCGCAATCGGGTACTGTTCGTACTCTCTTGTTTCTCATTTGCATACCACGCGCTGTTTTGATGTGTTTGTAGAATAGGCCGTCCTGAACCTTCTTAGGTTGCTTACTTGAAGTTTATTTGCGTAGTACTCAATACATCGTGTTTCAATATTTTGTAGATAAGTTAAACACATATATATGGATCAGTGGGGTCATAGACGCTTACGAACAGTTGCTAATTTTTTTGATGCTGTCGCATATGGTGATGAATATTCTCTTAGTGCTTTCTGCTAGATAGGCCTGAAACCACCCACACGTCACGCAATATACATGGTGTAACAGCAGATTGAACACTAAAACTAATTAATTCGCAAGTATGCTCCAATGAATCCAAGTACAATATCACAGCTTCAAACATTTAAAGCAATTCATGAAGCATGTGGACCATTTGGGTGAATTTTTGCATCTCTTCTTCGTCGACACCTTCAAGTCTGGTGTCCATCGTAGACCGTAGATCCTTCTGTAATGTGCCCACAAAAACTGCGTATGTCACTACAAATATGTGCCACTCCCCCCACCACTCCCACAACTAACTCCTACGCCCACTGCTGTTCTTGCCATTCCTACAACCCGTTCGACCCACTTCTTTCCACTTCATTCTCACTTCATTCTTACTTCATTGTGTTTGATAAAACACCACTTCACGCCAACAGCTCCCCCGTTTCATGAATGTTCGCGAAACGAAGCTGTGAAAAAAGTTTTAGGAGCATGCTTGCCAAGCTTGTGATTCTCGGGGCTTGTCTTTTGATGTGTACGCTAGTTTGATGAACAATGTACTGACTACACGCCTACTGCAATTTTCATAAATTATGAAAGCACCCATTATGCAACTATGCCATTCGTAATTCTTCTGATAAGCGATATACCAACTACACATATGTATGACATTATGTGAACCATGTGCTGTGAAACAGGCTTGTTGACAGATCGACCCCGAAGTGTGCTCTAGAAGAAGAAGCGGCACGAGAGCAGCGGCAGAAGCCTCGACTCAGGATCTGTATCGAGATTGCCTTTTCCAACGTTTAACTGCATTAACTAAATAAAGATCACCTCGCCACATACTTTAACGACCGAAAATTGTAATCTTCAAAGAAAAACACCTCGTACAGCTTTCTAATCAGTAATGCAATACTTGTATATTATCGCATCGGTATGTGAATTATTGCATCTTGTGTGTAAATAAGGGTCTAAAATTGCATCAATATATAAGTTACACATGATGTATATGTGTATATGCAATCAGGCCCATTACAACGTCTCATGTCTTTATATGATGATAGAGGATTTGTACGCAGCACCTACGAGTTCTTCCAATTAGCTCCAAGCAAGCTCCTTGATCATCAGTCAGTAGATGGCAGAATGTTTAGGGGCAAAGCTCCTTAAGACGTACGTTTGTCCACCGTAGTTGTCTGCCGTAGCCACCCCTAGTACGCTAAGAGCTCAATTGATGGCACTCCCATCGCTAGTACTCGCGTTCATCACTAGATGGCGTGGAGGCGTGTGCTGCGAATGACTGCCAGACCGACGGATGGAGGACACACAGACAGAGAGACAGATGGACGTATGGACAGAGAGACAGACGGGCAGACATACGGGGCAAGTTACTTCATCATCATTCACTTCGTGATTATGGTGTATCAACTGGGCTAAATTCACCGAGTATTTAAGGTTTTCCGATGTACCTCCGGAGCTTCACGTTCTCATCATTTACTCCGTGGATATATGCTGTAATTTTTCCCAACAATTGGTGCCTTTTATTTTGCCTCAAATGAATGACGGAAAGCAAGAGAGAGAAGATTGGCTGATATGTTAAACGAGTTCAGAACAACAGGTATGCCACATTTTACAGGGGAAGGGGATCACGAATCTCTGATGTTAGAAGTGTGAAAAAGATGTAGAGTTGCAAAAGATGCCATGTTGTTAATTTGTTAAATATGTTGAACATCTATTTCTTCTTGATGTGACTTTTTTGAAATTGATTTCGCAGGCGCTGTCCTATGAATAACGGCCAAGGTGGCGTTTCTAGTAGTAGCCAGGCCCCTGTGCCCCTGACTTGCTGACAAGAATAACGGATTAATAAACAAGCAATCTGCTCTCCGTGAAAACTAAATAAATAGTTTTTTCCATCTTTTGACAGGCACTCATAGTACACTACAAATAAAAAAAACCTATATGAAAGAATCGTCCTCATTTTGTGCTACAAAGAGGCGACCGTACGTGAAATTTGTTGGTTTATGTGAATAGTTTAAAAATATTCCGAGGTATGTGGGTTGAAGAGATAAGTTTATGATAATTGACTCTCCACGTGTTTATGTTAGAATATTGGACACTGCAAGAAGGTTGTAGAAAGCTTTACTGCAGTTTGCTTTAGGTAGCTAATACGGCGCTGATGTTTGTAGATCTTGAAATACATAAAAATACATCTTTAGCACATCAAGTGAATTGAGTGAAAAAAAGCGTTTCGGATATGTCAATTTTTGATCATTTGTCGTCTTAGTTTTGTTATTTTCACTATTCTCAGAACGAAGCCGAGAGCAGCACATTGTAATTTCAAACAGAAACTAGGTCTTTGAAGAAAAAAAAACATGTATTCGTAAACACCAGAACAATACTATACCTAAGCCCACTCTGCTACATCTCGGCGATAAAAGAACAAATTGTACAAGAACAGGGCTGCTCACTTTTATCATCACCTCACTCATGAAAGGGCATCCACGCTAATCGGTACGACGCTTCATACATACGTACAATCGCTTACCTTAATTGTCACTAAATTACTTTCCTTATTTGACGGAGTTGCTCGGACTTGTCGAAGGCCTACAAAAACGCACTCCGACGATACCGGTCATCATTCCTGATGACCGGCACCGTCGGCGAAAACGCGACCTCCGACCTCGCTCAGTGATTTGTCTTGAGGGCCTGAACCAAGTATTGCCTCCCATTTCATTCTCAGTGGTTTTGAGAAATGCGGTATAATGGCATTATCCCATCGCATGGTATGAGAAGAGCCCTCCGTAAATGTGACACTGCTCCGAAGCTCTACAACTCGAACATTTACGTGGCAGATGCGACAAGTATATAGTATCGAAGCCGCAAGTAGGACCTGCGCACATGGCCTTATATTAGAATGTGTTATGAAAGTGCTCTGTCTCCCACTTTTCTGAAAACTTCGGGCCACAGAATGCTTGCCCTAACTTTTCCGGAAACCCACTGCCAACAATGAACCACAACAAAATTATTATGGACCTTTACAAGCACGTAAACCTATTGATTAGTGAATCTGACTCTATTTGCCATGTCATGAAGGATATCAGAGATAACGCTGTCACAATGCTGGTCTAGGATATTCTGCGCACTATTGTTCTCTCAGCGCCTCCTCTCGTGGGTTAAACCTCGAGGTAGTGACTTCGGAGTCGAACTCCTTCCATAAATTTCAGAAGTGTTGTGGCTCGAGCGAGTTCATCATCTATGAACTTTGCTTGTTTTACCACGGTAAACATAAGAAGGAAATACGACACAGACGCAAGCATAGGTAGCCATGTACCTTTCTTTACGCTGTTGTCGTCTTTCCTTCTTGTATGTACCGCGCTAATACAAGCTAAATTCTTCCATAAAATGTACAGTTCTATGAATTTACCCACAGCAACTAACAACAAACCACTCTTCAGCCAAATCAAGGAATGCCTATTCACCAATTAGAACAATGGGCTGTGCTTGCTGACAGTCATGCATTGACCTACACCAACAATGGGTTCTATTCTCTATTAAATCTTCGCATAAATATTCAAAGCCCCCCACCCCCAACTCATTATTACCTCCGTATACGTACTAGCTCCCGCACAGCTAAACTTTTTGCAGCATGGCATTTTCCTTCGGCATTTTCACCACTTGTTGCGAAGTCTCTTTCGAGCGTCCAGTGTGAACGGGCGTGTTTTTAGGAGCGAAGCTCCTTATGGCGTAGCTTGTGCGTCCCTCGTAGTACGTAACCACCAGTGGCACATACCCGAAATAAGTATAACATTTGACCTCCAAGGTGGTGCCGGTGAGAGATTTCTTCTGTGCGTTGTTTAACAATAAAAAATAGTGCTCTATGTACATGCCAATGGCTGCTAATGGGGAATGAGAGACAGGAGCATTCGACTTTTAGTCAACGCGCACGCTGCGATCCCCATTAGCAGCCACTGGCATGTACATTGAGCACTAACGGACAAAAAAGGGTTGCTACATTATACTCGCTTGGTGTAACCTCCTTAGTTTTAGAAAGGTTTAGCGAGCGTTGAGCCGCAGGGCCATGAATACAATGAACTAGTATATAACATCAATGAATTCGAGGTGGTTAAAGGGGGGAAGCAGATACGAAGCGCAAAGCCGTAAGAAATTAAAAGCTGAATCCTCCTGTCTCTCATTTCACATTAGCAGCCACTGGCATGTACATTGAGCACTATCTGACAGGAAAAGGTTGCTACGTTATACTCGCTGGGCGTAACCTCCTTTGTTTTAGAAAGGTTTAGCGAGCATTGGGCCGCAGTGCCATGGGAGGACGAGGAGGAGGAATGGAAGAAATGAAAGGCAGGGAGGTCAACCAGACGCACGTCCGGTTCGCTACCCTGCACTGGGGGAAGGGGTGAGGGGACAAAAGGAGAAGAGAGAGAGAAGTGAAGGGCAACGTGTGTGTAGATGTGACCTTGTCCATTGCATGCTTATAAACGGTGGCGTAGTCTGGTCTTCTTTAGAAAACTTAGCAATGCCCGGGTCGCTTTGCTGGCCAGCGACGCGTAGAGCCATGAGCCAAGTATCTTCTCTTCGGAAAAAGGTCTACTGTCTAGTGTCTCTAACGTTTCGCGTAGCAAGTTGCGTTCGCTCGCAAAACGTTCACATGAACACAGTAGATGTTCTATTGTCTCGTCAGTGTCGCACCATTCACATCGGGAGCTATCCGCCATTCTTATGCGAAAAGAGTACACCTTTGTAAAAGCTACTCCTAACCACAGGCGGCACAGTAAAGTTGCATCCTGGCGGGAGAAGTCCGATAGAACTTTAAGCTTTCTCGATGGGTCCAATTTGTGTAGGCGGCGGTTCCTGACAGTGGGGTCACTCAGCCAACTTTCCGACATGGTGTTAGCAAACGAGTGAAGGCGCCTTGCAGCGTCGGTTCTCGACAATGGAATTGGGGTTGTCTGGGCGTCCGCGTGGGCGGATTGGGCAGCATTATCAGCAAGGTCATTACCGACAATACCGCAATGTCCCGGTAACCACTGGAACACCAAGTCATGTCCTTTTGATAAAACTTCGTGAATCACTTCTCTTATTTCAGTCACTAGTTGTTGATGCTCCCTCTGTCGTAAAGCTGATTGCAAGCTCTGAAGGGATGTTTTGGAGTCGCAGAACACAGCTCATTTTTGAGGTCGGGCTTCCGCGATATTAAGTATAGCAGCACGTAAGGCGGCAAGCTCCGCGGCTGTGGATGTTGTCCTATGCGACAGTTTGAGCTTTATAGTGACCTGGTACGCCGGGATGGCAACAGCACCTGTGGAGCTGTCAGCCGAGACCGATCCATCGGTGTAAATGTGGGTCCTCTGGCCGTATTTTTCGTTGAGTAGCGACAATGTCACCTGTCGTAGGACCACTGTTGAATGGCTCTTGTTCGTTATTCCTGGAATAGTGAGGCACACCTGTGGTTGTTGTAGGCACCACGGGGTGACGCTGGTCTTGTTGCTGGAGTGAAGCCAAAAGGAAGGCATTCTCTATGGGCAGAAATAATCTTTGAAAACATCGCGTGTGTTCTTTGAAGTGGCAACACTGCAACATGGTGACCAAGAACTCGGCAGAGGTGTATTATGTGGGCTCTCAAATTGTCAGTGGTGATGTATGTTCGAATTGGATGCTCTCTTGCGATCATAATTGCCCCGTAGGTTGAGGTGCATCACGGCAACCCTAAGCACACGCGCAGTGCTTGTCCTTGCAGACTTTCGAGAGTGCGGATGTTCGTCTTGCACGTACTTGCCAGTAACGGCAAGCTGTAGCGCGAAAATCCCAGAAACAGTGCCCTGTATAGCTGCATCATTGACCTTGTCGATGCGCCCCAAGATTTTCCACAGAGGAACCGCACTATATGGACGATGGAAGTTAGCCTTCTCTTCAGGTAGTTGCAGTGGGCACTCCACGAAAGGTCCCTGTCAATAATCACACCCTGGAAGCGATGGTTCTTCTGGTATGGAATATTTTGTCCATTGATGATAGCGGGGTATTGTGTCATGGCTCTGCGAGTAAACGCAACCAATGCACATTTCTCCGTTGAGACGGAAAGACCTTGCTTGCGGAGATATGAGCATGTCAGGGTGGCAGCCTGCTGGACTCTTGCACGTACTTGTAGACGAGTTACAGCCGAAGTCCATAGACAAATGTCGTCAGCATATATGCATATGAGGATGGTACTTGGCAAAATTTCACAAAGTCCTACCATCACGAGGTTAAATAAAGTGGGACTTGATACGGCGTCCTGAGGGACGCCACGGGAGGTATAGTAATTGGTGGTAGGTCCTTCTGAGGTTTGTACAAAAAAGTACCTTCTCGTCAAATAATCCTGGATCCATCGGAACATCCGACCACCGATTCCAACAGCTTCCAACGAGTCTAGGATGGCTTCACGTGTTACGTTATCATAAGCCCCTTTGACGTCGACGAAGAGTGCCAGTGGTATGCGCTTGAGGCTCTTCTGTTGCTGGAGAAATGTTGTGAGATCAATCACGTTGTCAAGAGATGACCTACCTCACCGAAAACCCGTCATGCAGTGTGGGTATATGTTGTAGCGCTCGAGGTACCATTCTAGGCGTGTAAGTATCATCCTTTCCATGACGTTTCCTACGCAACTTGCGAGGGCAACAGGGTGAAAGGATGTCAAATCAAATGGTGACTTTCCTGCTTTGAGTAGTGGCACAAGTTGACTTATCTTCCAATCCTGGGGAACATTGCCCGCAAGCCATGAGTGGTTGTAATAGCTTAACAACTGTCCTCTTGCCTCCTGTTGAAGGTTGGCTAGAGCGGCGTAGGTGATGCCTTCGGGTCCTGGTGAAGATGATCGTCGGGAAGCCGGCAAAGATGCGTCAAGTTCTTCTGTAGTGAAAAGATTGT